CGGCGTGTGCGGATTGGGTGAAAATGATTTTTAGCCTCACACGTCACACTTCTGAAGAAGACATCGACCGTCTGAGGTTTGGAGTTGGTTGGTTTGGGTTCAGATTTGGAAAAAGCGAAAGCGGGTTTCCAGCTGTACAAACTCGCTTGGTTTCGTTGCTTTGCATTGTTTCGTTTGTTCTGTTGTTACATTTGTCAAACATTGTCACAGCGCTAAACCGTTTGTAATCTGTGTAGACCGTGCGTCACCGCACGACGCGAAAATGTTGACGGAATGGACACTTTTGCATGACTGTTTTGTTTCAGTCAAAACCCTCGACACTGGTGTGCGGATTGTTGCATTTTGCGTGCGTTGTTTTTTGTACACTTCGCGCAACTAAGTCGCAGGTTTTTCGCAGAAAAACCTTCGGACCCCCCAAATCGCAATTTTCCTTGCTCACGGGGCCCGTTAGCGGTGCTTGCCTCACGCGGCTCTCCGCCATCGCGGATTGGAATGAATGGCTCTCGCCGTCAATGTTCTCTCGCTCGTCACTGTCTTTCGGACGTTGTCTACTGTCGCTCTCGTCTCTCGTCGTCGAGGACGCGGCGGAAGGAGCTCGCGCGCAGCGGTGGTGGCGCCGGCGCTCTCGCGGGGGAGGGGGGGGAGGGGGCACCGTTAACTGTGGCGTGAATCCAGGCGGAGCGCGATTGGAGTGGGCTTCCACCGCCTCTTCACGACAGTCCTGCCTGTGCGCGATTGCTTGCCCCACGCGCCATTGCCGCTTCTCCTCGCGCCTCTGCTGTCTGTTACTTGGCGATAGTCTCTGGTTAGTTTGTAGGTTGACAGTTTTCAGCACTTAGTCTCTGGATTTTCAGTTGGATATTAACTGGAAATGGTAATGACATTGCAAAACAGAACAAGCAATATATATCCAACCAAATTCAGCACTGTGCGACTCGTGTAACGCGTCCGCCGCGTTTCATATCGCGTCGCACGCGAAACCGCGTGGTAACCGAAACTGACACCGAAACCAGCGAACCGATTACGGTGCGTTGTGGTTGGCCCAAATCCAGCCACGAACATTCCCGATATTTCCTGCACATCGCGATTAGGTCTTCCACACGTTTTCCCTTGCTTCCTTTCCATTTCTTCCCTGATTCTTCTCGAACTTCTCGCTGCCATTGATTTCTCCATTCCGCACCATTCATAGCTTGTAGATTAGATCCGTTAGGTCGTAGCGACGGCACCGTACGGCGCTCCGCGTGGCAGCCGCCATTCGGCGCTTGCGTGGCAGCCGCAAACCACCTCAACAACCTCCCCTGTGGTTTGGGGGTGCCACTCTTCAGCATCACTTAAGTTACCGTGTAACCAGCAGCCCTCAGTATCGCAATCATATGCTTGTACTGCTGCCCATTGCCCCCCTGCAGGTCTCGCAAGGCACGGATACCCACGAGTGACTTGCAATGCTCAAAGTTCGCTTTGGGCAGGACCTTGGTGAGAAAGTCGGCTGCTTGCTCCTCTGATGGTACGTGCTCGAACTCAAACGTATTCTTCTCGAGCTGCTCGCGCACCCAATGATACTTCACATCCATGTACCGGGTGCGCCCATGCCAATTGTGATTGTTCACGAGGTCGATCGCTGATTGGCTGTCCGTTCGGATGGTAGTCGGTCCTTGTATGGGGATATCGAACTCTTGTAGGAGTCGTCGCAGCCACACGCCCTCTTGGCACGCATAGAATAGTGCCATATATTCAGATTCGGCGCTTGAGAGAGCCGTGTCTTGAAATTTCTTGGCTGTCCAAGCGATTGCTGTTCCTCCAAGAAGGTAAACGTAGCCATAGGCGCCTTTACGTGTCTTCTTGTCCGAGGCATGCGAGGCATCCGCATACCCCACCAGCTTCATGTCTTCCTCTCCTCCCTCAAATAGCAAGCCTTCATCGTCCGTTTGCAGCAGGTAAGCCATTGTTCTCTCCATCTCTCTCCATTTCCGCCCTTCCGGTTGTAGCACTTGCTGCCCAAGGAAGCTCGCAGCATAGGCAACATCCGGTCGTGTGCATGACACGGGATACATCACGGAGCCCACCCTTGACTGGTAGGCGGTAAGTACCTTGTCGCTGCTGCCCCACCTTGTAACTTCCTCATTAGGGTCCACTTCCTTCTCCGCTATGCCACTGGGGGGTGTTGCCACGGCCCGTCCCTTCCCTTGTGGGCCATACCTATCTCTCATCCGCTGAAAGTACTTCTTTTGATGTAACATCAGCTTCTTCTCATGCCGGTTACGCTCCAGGTTCATCCCGAGGAAATGCGAGGCCCTTGGGATTTGCTTGACCTTGAAGACTGCTGCAAGTTGTGTGCACACCTCCTCCACTCTCTCCTTGACTGCCCCTGCCACCAAAATATCATCCACATAGAGTAGGAGGTATACCTTGTCTTGCCCTTTCCCCTTCATGTAGAATGCGCGGTCACACTCGCTCTTCACGAAGCCAATCTTGAGTAGTTGCTCGCTCATTGTCTTGTACCACTCCCTTGGGCTTTGCTTTAACCCATAGAGAGTCTTGAGCAACTTGCACTTTCTGTCCGTTCCATCTTCACACCCGGGAGGCTGGTTCATGTAAATGTCTTCTTTCAAAATGGCGTAAAGGAAGGCATTGGTGATGTCCAATTGCACCAAGTGGTAGTCTCGTGCCATAACCACCTTGAGAACTGTCCTTGCCGTTGTGAGGTTGGTGACTGGTGCATAGGTTTTCCCGTAGTCAACACCCTCCACTTGAGTGTAGCCCTTTGCTACCAATCGAGCCTTGAAGCGCTCAAGCTGCCCCATATCCCCCGTCTTGATTTTGAATACCCACTTGACTCCAACAGGGCGCCTTCCTTCCGGCATCTTGACTAGCTCCCACGTTCCTCGTTCGGCAAGCGTATCAAGCTCCGCTTGAATAGCAGCCCGCCACTTCTCCTTGTAAGGTCTCGTAAAAGCTTCCTCAATAGTCACTGGTTCGGGTGGTAAGTCGTATGTTGCACGCTGCTCCTTGGAAATCAGCGCCGTTGCGGTTGTGGTAAGTAGCAGATGGGTGTGCACGTCGCGTCGACAAGTCATGAGGATCATTGCGTATCTTGGGTTGGGTCGCTTAATTCGCATGCCTCTGCCCATCTCTTCTTCTTGTGCGGCTGGTGCAGGTGACTCTGCTTTGGCTTCGGTAGGTCCTTGGCTCTCATCTTGCTGCTCCTCTTCCTCGCGCCCAATCAATATCGCACCTTCCTCTAGCAGGCTATTAATCTCCTCCGTTGCTTCGTCACTGCTGTCCGCGTCAAACAGTCGCCATGGATCACTCGCTTTACTAGTAGCTGGCGGCTGCTGGTCATTCCTTGCTTGGTCACTTCGCTGGCCACTAGTTGCTGCATCACCCAGCTGCCCTTCAGGTTCCACTACCGTGTCACCCTCAGGCGTCGGGGTAGTCTCCCACACCCAAGTCACGGGTGAGTCGTCGTCCTCTAGCTCCGTTGCACTCACATCACTTGCTGTCCCTATCCCATCAGCCCCACTTCCCAGCAGTTCTTGGACTGGTTGAGGTGTAGTAGACTTGTCATTTGCTGCAGGAACCTTTGCCCCGTCCTTCCACTCTCGGTAGTTGAGATTTTCGTAGAAAATGACGTCACGTGTTGCGGTCACCTTGCCGCTGTCCACGTCCTTAATCACCCATCCTTTGCTCACTGGACACATGCCCAAATGAACCCCCCACTTGGTCCGTGGCAGGAGCTTATGATCGGGACCAGCCGGTTCACGGTATTGAGTCATGCAGCCCCACACACGAAGGAACTCCAAGCTAGGCTTCCGAAGGTAAAACGCTTCATGAGGCGTGATGTCCGCTGCAAGTCCCGTAGTAGGTAAGCGTTTTTTCAGCCAGCACGCCATCCCCAAAGCGTCGCCCCAATAGGATAGGGGAAGCCCGCTATCCGATAGCATGCTTCGAACGCTCTCCAACAACGATCGATTCACCCGCTCCGCCACACTGTTATGTTGCGGGGTGTAGGGTATGGTAAGTTGGCGTCGAATGCCCTTAGCGCATAAGTAGGAGTTGAAGTCCGCATTGAGAAATTCCCCTCCATTGTCCGTTCGTAACACCTTCAGCTGCTTTCCGCTTTGCCGTTCCGCTTCCACCAACCAATCTATGAAGCTCGAGAGCGCTTCAGATTTCTCCTCGATCTCGGTCACCCATGTATGTCTCGTCCCAAGGTCGGTGAACGTGATGAAGTACTTGCTGCCGTGCCGGGATGCCACACGCATAGGTCCGCATATGTCAGCCGCGACAATCTCGAGAGTTTCATATGGCTGCCGGGTTCCATGCCTAGGGTGTGGTGTCCTCGTAGTCTTCCCTTCCACGCACGCACCACACTTCAGCTTCTCCTTTTCCCCCTTGGATACCTTCACTCCCACTGCCATGTTCTTATCCAAGAGCTCGTTGATGCGTTGGTCGCTCGCGTGTCCCATCCTCCTATGGAGAGTTTCCATGGTGATTCCCTCCACTGTTGCTGCTGCTAGCGGTGGAGTTTGTTGTTGCAGCACCGCCACCGGAATCTTGTTTAGCATGGCACGTAGTTCCTCCCGTGCCACCTTCCCTTCCTCTGGTTCAGCTTGAAAAGTTGCCTCTGCTGCATTGTTGGACTCCTTCAAGCACATCTCATACAGCCCTTCCTTTCTCATTCCTTCCGCAACCACCTTCCAATCGGAGTCGAACACCCACAGCTTGCCGTTGTCGCTAAATGTCTTGCACCCACTGCTGTCCAATTGTGACTGGCTTATCAGGTTCAAAGTCAGCTTCTCCACGAGTAGCACGCTGTCCAGTTTCAGCTCCCCATAAGGACTTTGCAGCAACAAGTCTCCTTCTCCCTTAACAGGTAGCTGTCCTTCATCGCCCAGCAACACATAAGGTATGTTTGAGGGTCGGAACTTCTGCAACCAGCCCGCACGGTGTGTTATATGCTGTGTGCAACCGCTGTCCAGAAACCAAGTTGTTTCTTTCAGCCCCTTCACCAACAGGCACACCTCAGAAGCTCGAGCGACGTTCGCCTTGTGGGCGCCTCCCAAGATCGCGTCACCTTCGCTTTTCTCCGCTTCTGCTGCATTTGTCTTGGAGGTGCTGTTGTTTGCTGCTGTCCTCCCCTGAAATTCTTGCTAGCTGGGTTTGTGAAGCACTCGAATGCCTTGTGACCGTACTTGCCGCAGTGATTGCAGTTTCCAAGAAATGACCCTCGTGCTCTCGCTCCATCCATGTATGCTGCTTCGCTGCTATTCGGTTTTCCCTTGAAGTTGCGGCTGCGTGGATTGGAGTAACACTCTGCTGCCTTATGCCCTTTCTTCCCGCAGTGAAAGCAAGGGCCAGGGCCGAATCCCCTTGCTGCCTTAGAGGCGTTCACCAATGCCGGTTTCTCCTCGGCAGATTCCACGAGCATCTCCCTCTGCACTCCGTTGTAGCGGATTTGCTCGAGCGACTGCAGCATCTCAAGCAAGCGGGTGATGTCCTTCGGTGGATTGCAGGCGAGCACTCCTTTCTCTCCCACCCAGTCCTTAGGTAGGCCGTTGATGATGTAGCTGACCATGTGGCTTTCCGGTTCTGCTGCCCCCATAGCCGCTAGACACTCGTTGTAGCTCTTAGCGCGATTTACGTAGTCGATGACGCTCTCTGCTGGTTCCATGCCCAACAGCAGTAGCTTCCTCTTTATCGCAGTCAGGTTCGTGTCACTCCGCCCGAGGTACACCGCATCCATGTAGCTCCATGCCTTCTCGGCAGAATTCAGGTCGTCCGCGAATTGGTCAAGGCCCACAGCGTTAGCATCCGAAACCGAATGACACAACTGAAAATAAGCTTGCTCACTCTTTCTCCTCTATACTGTCTTGACTTGTGCAGACGCCGTTTCAGATGGAGGCGCGTCTTCCTCCCCTTTCGTCGGATGGTAGAGCCACCAGAGCCCCACCTCTCGTGCACGCCGGATAAACTTCAATCTCCACGTGCCATAATCGCTTCCGTTGAAGCGTTGCGCCTCGCTTAAGCCTATCGTTGGCTTGGCCACCGTTTGCACTTGCACCAGGGCCTCTAAGAGAGTTTGCAGCTGGGAGCCGTCTATGTTCACCGAGGAACCAGAGCTCGCTTCACCGCTGCCGTTTCCCATGCCTTCGGAACTCGCCTTTCGTCGATGATATTCGCCAAGTCACTCCGCACACTAAATGTGCTAATTACGAATGCAAATGTGCCTATAACGAGGCTCTGATACCAGCTGTTACTTGGCGATAGTCTCTGGTTAGTTTGTAGGTTGACAGTTTTCAGCACTTAGTCTCTGGATTTTCAGTTGGATATTCACTGGAAATGGTAATGACATTGCAAAATAGAACAAGCAATATATATCCAACCAAATTCAGCACTGTGCGACTCGTGTAACGCGTCCGCCGCGTTTCATATCGCGTCGCACGCGAAACCGCGTGGTAACCGAAACTGACACCGAAACCAGCGAACCGATTACGGTGCGTTGTGGTTGGCCCAAATCCAGCCACGAACATTCCCGATATTTCCTGCACATCGCGATTAGGTCTTCCACACGTTTTCCCTTGATTCCTTTCCATTTCTTCCCTGATTCTTCTTGAACTTCTCGCTGCCATTGATTTCTCCGTTCTGCACCGTTCATAGCTTGTAGATTAGATCCGTTAGGTCGTAGCGACGGCACCGTACGGCGCTCCGCGTGGCAGCCGCCATTCGGCGCTTGCATGGCAGCCGCAAACCACCTCAAAACTGTCGCGGCTCTCCGCCATCGCGAATAGTTTTTCATTGCCTTTCCATCATTTACTGTGAGAGTACGACGGCTTATGCTTGTTATTCATGCTTGCTTTTATTACCTTACGCTACTGCTAGCTTAGGTTTAATTTCTGCATGCATGAATTGTTTGATTCCTAGGCTAGGTGCTTTCCTATATATTATATATAGTTATAGGCACCATGCTAGGTTACACCGAATTCGGAGCTATTCGGTTGCCACCGAATTGCTTCTACCGAATTCGGGAAGGGTCTGTTTGGGACGCTTCGCGACCCGCAGAACCTTCTCGTAACACCTGGTTGTCAGAATGTTGTATTTGTCTAGCCTGCAGTGGGGTACTCTATAGCGAGTACAGCCCAATCTAGGGTTTGCTATTTGTATCTCAACTGCTGCTAGTCCAAACCCTCTTTCTGCTTCTGCCTCTGCCAGCACGCTCTTGAGCGGCCTAAGAACCCCAATGTTGTATGGGTGAGGGCAAGCAAGTGAAGTTACCACAGTTGATAACCAACGAGATAGCATCTTAGCTGCAGTAGCCGGCAGTAACCTTGGTGAGGAGGCAGCAGGACAGATGCACGAGCACTTGAATGCTGTGCGCATTACCCCTCACACATGCACTCCTGGGATAACACCAACAAGCCACCTTAATGGTATCTGTAGCACCAATAACCCACCTCTGCCTTTAGTCACCTTGGCGAGGCGGTGACTGAGAGAGGCACGAGCACGGGAATTTTGCACACATCGCCCCTCACATTTGCACTCCATTCATTCCCCACCTCAACACCCAACATGGCCTAATAGCACAGCACCCCGTGGCGGGCCTTGTGCTCCACTGCATCGCACCAACCGCTTACTTCTCTCCAACTCCCCCACTCGCTCCCCTCACTCACTCACTTTATTTGGTGCCTCAAGATCGATTACTGCAAGAAAAAAATCAAGCACTCATACCGAAATGCACCAACCGCTTACTCCCTTCTTGTACCCCCCACAGATTTCACTCCATGTGCACCGTTTATAAATTCCACCTAATCATTCTGCCTTCGTTCCGCCACGGCAGTCAGCACTGCCCGCCTTCATTACTTAATCGAACCAGCATTTATAGCACTGCTTCTTTGTTGCTCCTTGCTGCTCACCTTACCCACACTTTCCTTCACTCACCAGCATCTCACCCCTAACCCTCCCAGTTCCCTCTCCATCTGCTCCAGTCTTGTCCTCCATGTTAGGTGCCAGCACTCTTCTCCATCACACCCCTTACCCTACCTATCCCCTTTTTCCCCTTCACCTATTGCAGGAACCTGTACCACGTTGGGCGCCAGCACCACAAACTTGGCTCTTCTGCTGCGCACCTCCTACCCTCCTGCCGCTCATCCCCCCGAGGCACCTCCTCCACGTTAAGCGCCAGCACCACACACTCGTCAGGCAAAATTCCTAAACTCTCGGTGCCACCGTCTGCCCCACCTCATTCAGCCCTGCGAGCAAACGTCGCCTCAGTGCTCCCAATACGTGGGAGGAGGGAAGGAGATAAGGAGGGCTAAAAAAACATGGAGGAAAAAGGGATATTCTTCAGCCCTGCCAGAATGCGGCGATGCCTCATTGTTCCCTCCACGTGGGCATCAGGAAAGAAGGGGAATCGCCTTCAGCCCCACACCCCGCCTACTCCAACTCCCTCAATCCTGCCAGCACGCGGCGCCTTGTGCTGGCCGGGCTGGGTTGAAGGAGGTAGGGCCGGAAAGAGGGGGAATGTCCTTCAGCCCTGCCCCGCCTGCCGTCCTCCTGCTGCCACATCGTCCATGCTCCCATGGCATGTGTTGGTGGCGATGTGAAAGACAGCAGGGAGAGATCCGAGGGAGGAGGGGAGAGGGGGAGAGGGAGGTGGGGGGTCTGGAGCAGCAGCTCCGCCAGCAGAGCAGCCACCAGCTGTAAATACTGGTGGCGTACCTGCTGTGGAGAGGGCAAAGGCGAGGGGGGCGGTGTGTGGGAGGAAGGAGAGTGGGGTGGGGGTGAGGGAGGTTGTGGTTGCAGTGAGGGGTGTGGACGGCAGGTTCAGGGGAGGGCTTTGAACATGTGATTGCCAAGGCAAGGCGTATGGCACACATGGGCATCGCTCGATGGTGTTCTGTGGTGTCGAATGGCGACGGATCGACTCACTGCCTCACCTGCCGCTTGCCTCACCTGCTTGTCTCCTCGCATCAGCAGTCGGCTGAGCCTTTGAGCTCGGAAGAATGTGAGTCGACTCAGTTACTCCACTGCCCCCACATGGCCATGCGAGTCACCTGCTGCATGCCTCCACGCCAATGTAACTGGTTGGCTATTCTTGCTTTTTCACAACGCTTCCTTCTTGCCCTCTCTCCTCTTCCCCTCCCTTCACCTCACCTACCTTCACCTCTCGTTCCTTCTCCCCTCCCTTCTCCTCCCCTGCTTGCCCTACAACAGCTGATAGTGCTGGTCGACGGAGGGGTCCGTCGAACATGGTGTTGCTCGACAAGAGTTTTGGTCGACCAGAGGCACCTGGTGGTCGACCAGAGGCACCTGATGGTCTACCACAAGCACCCAGTGGTCGATGAGGGCACCTGGTAGTGTCCAGGTCGACCAGGTAACTTGCTCCGCGACTTCTGCAAAGGTACGCGAATGTCGTTGAGGTTGCGGTGACGAAGACAACTTCGGGCTGGTATCCCGAAGTCGATGTGGCTCGTTAGGCGCAGACAACAGCCGACGGATGCACAACGATGCAAGTCGGGCCAAACATCTGCGTGCACCTGCGAGTGTGCGCACAGATGTCTTCTACGGGCAACGCTGAAAAGCCGTTTTGCTGCAGCGTTGGCACGCCGCCGACGTGCTGTGTTGGCAGGTCGCCTTCTGCAGTGCTAGCGCGGCTCCTGTATGCAACGCTAGCAGACGGTCGATTATGCAGTGCTGGCGGTCGACCAGGCTAGCTGCAGAGTTGCTAGGTGCCTGATGTAGTCATTGTGTGACTGCTTGTTCAATCATTGTATAATTCCAACTTTGCTAATAAAAACTCTTGCCAAGTTTTCCTGTGAATCTGCAAGTGCCAAGGAACACATGGAAGGCTACAGTCACTCCAAGAAACCGTGCCTTCCCCGGTAGTCGAGCTCACAACCGTTTTAGCGTGACTCCAAGCAATTTGCATTAGTAGAACAAACCATGCATAAAGGACAACTCGCGACAATAAAAAACCTTACATCACGCTTCTGGAAGCAACGGTTGATGCCGTTCATGTCAGCGAGGATGTCGACAAGGAAGAACAGGCAGAACTGGAACTTGTAGCACGTCACAATCTCGTACGCCTTGAGTCTGTTCTCCTAGAGCAGAACAATGCACGCACCCAGGACCTTGCACAGCCGACACACTGCATCCCCTCATGACAGCCACCGACCCGTGTGGATCCCCTGAACTTCAAGGTTTGTGTTAATAGATCACTCGCTGCAAGTACTTGCAGCATTTTCTCTAGACGCACAATTTGCCGAGGTCTGCAGACACGGTGCACACCACCTTGTCCACTATGTCTAGGTTTGGATTTGGCGTCGCATTGTCCTTCACAGCTAGAGCCTCCCTGGAGGACGCACGAGACAAGAAACAACATGTGTATTAAAACAACAGACATGTACTACACATGTTCACTACTAGCAAACTCACTGATGGGCGATGCCGTGACAGGAAAAGATGCCCCAACACGACTTACGCCCCATCCGTACTGACTCCCATGATCTTGGACACA